AGAGAGAGAGAGAGAGAGAGAGAGAGAGAGAGAGAGAGAGAGAGAGAGAGACAGGGACAGATAGATAGGAAGACGGAGAAAAAATAACGCACTGTCATTGATTTTTTCTCCAGAAAAACCAGAAGAATAAATTAAATTCATTTTTGTAAAATGCGAGATATTGATTTCTACCTGATATGCATCCGAGCGAGAAGAAGAATTTAATATTCCAGTACGTTCCATTCCTTGTATATCCGATAAATATTGTTCGGATCGTAACAAGGTTTGTTGACATTGCCTCTGTTCTTCGTATAGTTTCATTTTTGTAACTTGCTTCGATTCATCTCCATTAATAATAATCGATTTTGACGATCGATCAGATCTTTCCTCGTTCGATAGTTTCGTTGGTATCGTCGATGGTGGTGATAGCTCCGATATTACTGGCATTTCCTCTTGACATTGCTCTTTAAATTCAGTGATCACCGATGAAGATCGATGAAGATCAACGTTACAATGAGAAATATCGATAGATTCTTGCGCGGTTGACACTCCCGCGATCGTACTCGATATATTCGGGACTTGTTGATCGACCAAAGTAATCACCTGTTGCGATTCTTTACTCTCATCGAACGATGAAACGATATCGGCAGAAGTCGAAATTACCGAAATCGATCTTGTGTTTGGATTTACAACCGAATATTCCGCAGTGGGGAAGGATTGCGAATGTGGATAAGATTCGTTTCGATTCCGGCAATTTTCCCCGGTATCGTTAATAATCGAATTATCGATCGATGTAGATTTTGGCTGAGATAAGGCTAAGGATCCCGAGAAGCAGGGCTGTCGTTGCTCTATCAAACTGATCACTTGCGAATTTTGTTGCGATTGTATCGATTGAGGCGAGCATGGTAATGGAACAACAACCGGTGGTTCTGGAAATAATTCCGCTTTCAGATTGGGTAAAAATGCATCTATCGTTCTCCAAGTCGGGGCCCATAAATTTGATGTCGGAGCTAACACGTTGGCAGAAGACATAACCAATAACATGTTTTTCAATGATTCCGGTATGGCTTCGAAGAGAAGCTCGCTATTATCCGCGTGCATATAAGCGCGTAGTAAGCTTAATACTGTTAGCCAGAGTGGTAAAAATCCAGGTAGAGTCAGCAATGGATTCAAATGATGAAGAAATACCTTGGATAATAACATGGCCGCCCTGACCCTCGTCTCTTCCACACCGATAGGATCGTTGGAGGCTATCGGACCGAGTAATTGAGCCAACAGAGGGAACAAAACTTGTTCCAAACATTGAGACCACTCGATCGCCGATAATTGTGCCAAATCGTGAGCAAGCAGAGTACTTTGAAGGTACGTTATGGCTGCTGTGCGTACCTGTCTACGAGTATCGCAACACAATCTTGCAATTCCTTGTAACAAAGGTCTCCACACCTGTAGCCATAAAGAAACATTTTCCGTAGCATTACCCTCTTCGGCCCACCATCGAAATACTTGAGCGATTCTAGTATGAAGCGTATGCATTAAATCTAACAATTGTATGGGACTTTGTTGATAAGTGGCAGCAATACCAACTTCCTCCTGAATATTAAGCATTTTATTCCTTTTTCCTGTACATTGAAGAACTGCTTCGGCAAATGTTCTCACGCAACGTATACATAATTCGAAGTTAAATGGAGTTACATGAGCCACGTCTCTGACTAGGAATGTCAAACTTTCGCAGCATTTGACGAGGGCAGCGGGATCGTGAGGTTGTAAATCACGATCCAATACAATCGTGTCAGCGGCAACAGGCAACGGTGCTTCTGTCCCTGTTGGAGATACGAGTACCCATTCTGGTATAGGACTGATCGGTCTAGGATCCAACATCGATGTTCTAGAATTGGTCGCTTCGTCCAATACGGTGTTCGATTGTTTCGGCATTAATGCTCCAGCACCTGCACACTCCAACAAACTGAATACTACTTTCCAATCTTCCGTGCTATGAATATTAGCCGCCCCTGTTTTAAGCAGCTCGAACAAACCGTAAGCGATCTGCCTCGCGAGCGGTGTGCTTGTAGCGGAAGGAAGATGAGTTAATGGTAACAAGGGCGGCAAAACAGTACACGCGTATTCTTCTCCCCGTAACAATCTAATCGCTAATCTCAACATTCCAACGGCAACTCGTTCCAAAAGGTATGG